ATACTAACCGCTATCTACATGCACTCTCACACCACCACCCAGCACAGATCAATTCCGTAGCCAAGACACTCATCTCCAGAACAAAATGCTTAGCCGATGAACAACACCAAAAAACCGAACTACACACTCTCACCAACGTACTTACAGCCAATGGATTCCAAAGAAAGAAGATTACCCACCTAATCCAAAAAGAAACCCCAACCAAAATCCAAGACAGAGAACAAGAAAACGGCAAAGCCCTCCTCCCATATATAAAAGGCACTACAGACAAAATCAGCAAGATCCTCCAAAAACACAACATCAAAACAGCATTCTGCACAAACAGAAAAATATCCACCATCCTAAGAAACCCCAAAGACAAAATCGAATTAGAAAACCAAGGAGTATACGAAATCCCCTGCACTGCCTGCCCTACCACATACATTGGACAAACTAACAGAAGAATAAATGCACGCATTGAAGAACATAAGAACTCAATCAAAAAAGAAGAAACGACCTCTTCCCTGGTCCAACACCTCAAAGCCACAGGACATGAAATTGATTTTAAAAATACCAGAACTATCGCCAAAACCGAACACTTCAACAGCAGAATAATCAGAGAAGCCATAGAGATAGAAAAACGCCCACACAGCATGAACAAACGAGATGACACCTCCCGCCTTCCAGCCATTTGGAAACCCGCCCTCATGAACAGACGAGTACCTAACATGAAGAAGGACACCAGACCCACACCCACGAGAGCCACACAAGATGCCACCACCACACTTCCATGTAGAAAACAGACTCTCACCCACTCAGAAGATGAGACACGACCATGGACCAGAAGCTGCACTACAGCTGCATCACTACCCACTTCAAACCCCTCCGAGCCATACATGAAGCAAACCGACACCCACTATGAAGATGCAGCAGGACCACGAACTAGAAGCCAAACAGCAAGATCACAACTCACCAGCTCAAATCCCCCAGCAACTAAGACTAACCGGAACACAACCAAGCCCCCACCTGAACAGAACACGCCTCCAACCAATCAGAACACGGCTAACCCCCCAACCAATCAGAACACAACCAAACCCCCTACCAATGAGAACACCCCCCCACCCAATCAGAACACAGCCAAGCCCCCACCCAATCAAGTCCCACCCCCACTGGCAGTTAAAAGGAGGAAGCAGCTGCAATCTCACATTACTCTGAAAAGCACAGAGCCGGAGACAGAAGCCTGAAGATGATGAATGAGACTTCATCGAAACGTTGCCTAGATACTTCGAATCTTACGCGGGAGAAAACCCGAACAACCAAAGATCCAAACAAATATAAATATATACATATACACACACATACAAATGTTATATTGTTTGATGATATTCTGATATTATAACAATGTAAAGATTGCGGATATATGTCAAAAGATCACCACGTTCAAATCTTTTTAAAATTTAACTTTCAATTTTTTAAAAAAGTTACAATGGCACTGAAAAAAGTGACTTATGACATTTTTTCACACTTATGACCGTTGCAGCATCCCCAGTCATGAAAGGCCAGGTGAGGAGAACCCCTTGAACTGAGTGATGTTGAGTTGGTCAAGCCCACCCAGTCACGTGACCACGAAGCCACACCCACCAACTAAGCCATGCCCACAGAACCGGTTGTTAAAAAACTTGAATCCTACCCCTGGGAACCAGATTTCCAGTGCTAGGAGGAGACTCTATGGTGGGAGAACTGGACTTCCAGCACTAGTAAGAGACTCTATGGTGGGGGGAACTGGACTTCCAGTGCTAAGAGGAGACTCTGTGGTGGGAGAACCGGACTTCCAGCACAAGGTGGAGACTCTATGGTGATGGGAACCGGACTTCTAGTACTAGGAGGAGACCCTATGGTGGGAAAGCCAGACATCCAGCGGTAGGAGGAGACTCTATGGTAAGGGGAACGGGACTTCCAGCACTAGTAGGAGACTCTATGGTGGGAGAACCAGACTTCCAGTAGCAGGAGACTCTATGGTGAGGGGAACTGGACTTCCAGCGCTAGTAGGAGACGCTATGGTGGGAGAACCGGACTTCAACTGTTAGGAGGAGACTCTGGTGGGAGAACTGGACTTCCAGCACTAGGAGACTCTACGGTGGGAGAACCGGACTTCTACCACTCGGAGGAGACTCTGGTGAAAGAAACGGACTTCCAGAGATTTGAGGGGACTCTATGGTAAGAGAATCGGACTTCTACCGCTGGGAGGAGACTCTGGTGAGAGAACCGGACTTCCAGAGCTAGGAGGAGACTCTATGATGGGAGAACGGGATTGGAGCACTAGGAGGAGACTCTATGGTGGGAGAACTGGACTTCCAGCGCTAGGTGGACACTCTATGGTGATGGAAACCGGACTTCAAGTGCTAGGAGACCCTATGGCTAGAAAGCCGGACATTCAGCAGTAGGAGGAGACTCTATGGTAAGGGGAACGGGACTTCCAGCACAAGTAGGAGACTCTATGGTGGGAGAACCGGACTTCCAGCAGTAGGAGGAGACTCTATGGTGGGAGAATGGGATTGCAGCGCTAGGAGGAGACTCTATGGTGGGATAACCAGACTTCCAGTGCCAGGAGGAGACTCTGGTGGGAGAACCGGACTTCCAGCACTAGGAGAAGACTCCGTGGCAGGAGAACCGGACTTCCAGAGATAGGAGGAGACTCTATGGTGGGGGGAACCGGACTTTGAGTGCTATGAGGAGATTCTCTGGTGGGGGGAACGGGACTTCCAGTGCTAGGAGGAGATTCTGTGGAGGGAGAATTTGACTTCCAGAGATAGGAGGAAACCCTATGGTGGGAAGAACCGGCATTGCAGTGGTAGGAGGAGACTCTATGGTGGGGGGAACCGGACTTCCCGTTCTAGGAGGAGACTGTATGGTGGGAGAACAGTATTTCCAGTGCTAGGAGACTCTATGGTGGGGGAAATGGACTTCTAGCGCTAGTAGGAGAGTCTTTGGTGGGGGAAACTGGGGTTCCAGTGCTAGGAGGAGATTTTATGGTGGGGGGAACTGGACTTCCAGTGCTAATAGGAGATTCAATGGTGGAAGAACTGGATTGCAGCATGAGGAGGAAACTCTAGGAAGGGGAGGAAACTGGACTTACAGCGCTAGGTTGAGACTCTATGGTGGGAGAACCGGACTTCCAGCACTAGGAAAAGACTGTGGTGGGAGAACCAGACTTTCAGCACCAGCAGGAGACTCTGTGGTGAGAGATCCTGACCTTTAGTGCTGGGGGAGATTCTATGTTGGGGGGAACCAGACTTCTAGCGCTAGGAGTAAACCCTATGGTGGGAGAACTAGACTTCCAGCGTTAGGAGGAGACCCTATGGTGGGGGGTACCAGACTTCCAGTGCTAGGAGACTCTGTGGTGGGAGAACCAGACTTCCAGAGATAGGAGGAGACTCTATGGTAGGATAACCAGACTTCAAGCACTAGGAGACTCTACGGTGGGAGAACCGGACTTCTACCACTCGGAGGAGACTCTGGTGAAAGAAACAGACTTCCAGAGATTTGAGGGGACTCTATGGTGGGAGAACTGGATTCCCAGCACAAGGAGGAGACTCTATGGTGGGAAAAACTGAACTTCCAGTGCTAGGAAAATACTGTGGTGGGAGAACCCGACTTCCAGCACTAAAAGGATACTTTGTGGTGGAGGGAACCGGACTTGGAGCCCTAGTAGGAGACTCTGTGGTGTGGGGAACTGGACTTCCAGCGCTACTGGAGGCTCTATGGTGGGGAGAACCAGACTTTCAGCACTAAGAGGAGACTCTATAGTGGGTGAACCAGATGTCAAGTCTCCAGGGCATGCTGGAGCCGTGACACCATGCGTTGTGCCATGTCAGACTATGCTATCGAGGGGGGAAGTGCTGTTAATCACCCAACCTGGGGTTTCAACTGTTCAACAGAGATAACGAGCCTTGCTGACATCACACGCTGAGCTGTTACAGCCTGTGGGCAGTGGTAGACAAAGTGATTAAGATGCTGCCTGTTGAACTAATGATCTCAAGAGGGGTGGAGGGTCACTTCATAGGCGTAAATACAATGAGGGAATATGATATTTGTACAAATATGGTAAATAGGGGTGGATAATTAGTGGATAAAAGCACGGTGTATAGGGTATTACATGGTGATCGGATGTGATGCAGTAGTGCTCACCAGATGGTGGATAAACTCATTAAGTTGTTAACTGGTGTATAAATACAGCTCTGGCTGCGAGGTGCGCCAGAGCAGTCTTTAATTCCTTTTGGTTACTTGTTGTTACCTGAGACTCTATGGTGGGAGAACCAGACTTCCAGCATTAGGAGGAGACCCTATGGTGGGAGAACCCGACTTCCAGAGATAGGAGGAGACTCTATGGTGGGGAGAACCAGACTTCCAGCGCTAGGAGGAGACTCTGTGGTGGGGGGAACTGGACTTCTAGAGCTAGGAGGAGACTTTATGGTGGGGGGAACCGCAATCCCAGTGCTAGGAGGAGACTCTATGGTGGAAGAACCGGACTTCCCTTTCTAGGAGGAGACTCTATGGTGGGAGAACCGGATTTCCAGCGCTGGGAGGAGACTCTATGGTGGCAGAAATGGACTTCCAGCACTAGGAGGAGAGTCTTTGGTGGGGGAAACTGGGGTTCCAGCGCTAAGAGATTTTATGGTGGGGGGAACTGGACTTCCAGCGCTAAGTGGAGATTCAATGGGGGAAGAACCGGATTGCAGCACGAGGAGGAGACTCTATGAAGGGGGGGAACCGGACTTCCAATGCTAGGTTGAGACTCTATGGTGGGAGAACCGGACTTCCAGCGCTAGGAGGAGATTCTATGGTGGGAGAAGCTGACTTCCATCGTTAGGAGGAGACTCTATGGTGTGGGGAACCGGACTTCCGGTTCTACGAGGAGAGTCTATGGTGGGAGAACCGGATTTGGATCCTGTGGAGAAAGGGAAGGAGGCAACCGGATTTGTGGGAGAGGAGGAGGAGGAGGAAGTAGTCCTTCATCCTACCTTTAAGTTCTTCCACCAGTATTTGCGCTTTAGCTTGGCGGCACTGGTTTCGAATTGAGACGCTCCGGCTTGAAGGGCATCAGCGCGGTCATCCAGCTCCGAAAGTTTCTGATCTCTCTCTAGGACCTTGTCCACATTCACTCGCATGATATCCACGACCTGGAGGGAAAGAGACACCATGGAGAAGGTGAGAATGTAGCAGGAGGCCGCGAGAACCACTGAGATCTGGAAGCCAATAGAAGTGCAGAGTTTTAACACCCGGAAGGAAAGGTCTCCAAGGAAACCACCAAGCTCCAAGAATACACAAAGTACCCCACAGTCCTCCTCCTCCTCCTTTTTGTGAACTCCACTCCGTTCTAAATCTGATGATGTTCCCTAGTTGGGTCATGAAATGTCTGCAAGGAAACCACCAAGCTCGTTGAATACCAAGGACCCCACAGTCCGTTTCTTCCTTCTCCTTCTTTCTGCAAACTTCACTCCTTTCTAGCACTGATGATGTACCCTAGTCAGGTCATGAAATGTCCACAAGGAAACTCCAAGTTCAGAGGGCACCTAGGACCCCACCAAAGATTGACATGTGATGGTCACCTCCATCAATCTGAAGGATGCTAAGAAAGACTTACCTTGGGTGAAAGTCCACCTCCCCTAACCTCACCTGTAGCCAGCTAAGCGAAGAATTCAGGAATGTACAACTGACTAAAAGCCCGAAGGAGGATTAGGTATCCCATAGCCCTCACAGAGCCCCCCCCAAACCCCTATGACCCCGCTAAAGTCACCCCTGGTGTCAGGAGATTGAACTCAAGAACATTTTTGAACCAATAGTTTCTTGCAAAAGGAGGAATATGCCTTTATTTCACATCAATAAAAACCAACAGAGAGGTGACTTGATGGAGTTATTATATTACTGTTGCTTGATTTGGGGGCCTTTTCGTGTCCAATCTTAACTTAAATTAAACCAGATTCAATTTCAGCTTTGGTTATATTTTATAGCTTTGGAAGTGTGTTTGAGACCCATCACCCAGGACCCGTGAGGGCCTCATCCTTATTTAAACCGAAATTCCTTCTGCCAACAATTGCAATACAGGTAGTCCTTGAGTTGCAAGAGTTCAAAGTTACAACAGTATTGGGGGAAAAAAGGGACTTAGAACTGTTTTTCATAGTTATGACCTTTGCAGAATCCCCATGATCAGGAGGCACATGCTTTCCATAAACATTAAGAATCCAATTTATTATTGATTTGGGGGGGGGGGGCATGGGGCTCTCTCTGCACCCCTGGGAAGAGAGGGAGGAAGATAGATGAAAGAAAGAAGGTTTGAAGGGAGGGAGGGAGGCTGTGAGGGACAAAGGAAGGAAGGAGGGAGGGAGGAGAAAGGGAGAGATGGCTAGGAGGGAGGAAGGAAGATAAAAAAAGAGGGAAGGAGGGAGGGAGGAAGATAGATGAAAGAAAGGTTTGAAGGGAGGGAGGCTGTGAGGAAGAAAGGAAGGAGGGAGGGAGGAGAAAGGGAGAGATGGCTACAGAGAGGGAAGAAGATGAAAAAAAGGAGGGAGGGAGGGAGGAAGAAAGGAAGGATGGAAGAAAGGTGGATGAAGGGAGGGAGGAAGGAAGGGTGAAAGAAAGAGGGATGAAGGGAGAGAGGAAGAGAGGGAAAATTTCCAATGCTCCTTGCCAGACGCCCACAAAGAAACTCAATGGGAGCATAAGAGGCTCCCTCCACCGCCCTCAAGCTCTTGGCCTCTGGACCAGTGTTCCTCCACCCACCCACCCCAGCATGGACTTCCAACTCCCAGAATCCCCCACTTCTCACCTCATCCACTTGAGCCTGGGTTTGCTGGAGCCTCCGGTTACTGGTGAGGTTGGGTGGGGGGGCGGGGGGACCCCCGGCCTCTCCTCCGGCAGCCACAGGTGGGGAAGCAGCATTAGCTGACCTGAAAGACAAGGGTGTGTGTGTGTGTAATTTTGTGTCTTGCACATGACAGGTGTTTCTCAGCATCAAAAACTTGCTGGGGGTTGGAAAAGCTGAATTGGGACCCATTCATCGCAACTGTTTCCCGCTAACCCAACCGCCGAAAAAAATCCACAGGCAGGAAGTACCTAGCCACTTTAAGTTCCCAGAATCCCCCAGCCAGCTAGCCACTGCTGAGGATTCTGGGAGGTGAAGGCCACAGGGCTAGGAAATCGACACGATTGGGAGGGGGACATGAAGGCTTAAGAAGGTCCTTCTCTGAACCCTTCTTGTGAATGGGATCAGGCAGGGTTGGTTCAAAGGCCCGATCGGACCGCTAAAGTGGGGTTACATGGGTGGACTTCAATTCCCAGAATCCCCCAGACGTTATGCTTTAAGATGGGTAGGTGTCAACTCCCTGAATTCCCCAACCGGCATGCTTTAACATGGGTGGACCAACTCCCAGAATTCCCAGTCAGCATCCTTTAAGATGGGTGGACTTCAACTCCCAGAATTCCCCAGGCACGAGCCTTTAAGACAAGTGGACTTATCTTAAAAGAAACAGCTTGCGTGTATTTGGATTATTTGATGATCTTTGGATTTTTGGTTATTATATTTGAATGACTAAAATCAATCGGGTGGTTGTTTAAAAATTTATACAATGGCACCACTTCTGGATGAATTGAAAATGGAACTTAAAAAGTACAAAGAGGATGCACAAGAAGGGAGGGTTTTTTTTGGCTTCGTTTTTCAATTCTTAGAAATGGAGATTTGGAACTATGAGAAACAACAAGAAAAGACTGCAAAACAAGAAGACTGGGACAAAGAAGAAGCCATCTTTAATGAACAAGTAATTCTATGTGGGGAAGAAAAAGGAAAGGGGGGAAAGAGAATGGAGAATTTAAGACTTAAAAAAACAACCAAAAAAAAAGAAAAATAATTCAAAAAATAAGTATAATACTGGAAAGCAACAGAAAAGGGGAATACAGAAGAGAGAAATAGAGGTAGAGACAAGGGGGTAAAAAGGGGAGAGAGAAGAGAGGGAAGAAGGAAAGGAAAAGAAGTTACAAAGGACCGGAACAAGATATAGAGAAACAGGACCTATTTAGAGATAATGGGTGAAAATCTAACTGAAAAAGGGATTCTGTAAAGGTACGTAAGATTGTATTGTTTTATTAGTAATAGAAATAACTTTAGAAAATTGGAAACAACGTATGATTAAAATGAGGGATAAAATAGTTAGTGTAATTTAGTGAAATGTTTGTGAATAAAATAAGTGAAATAAAATAAATGCGAAAATTGAATTAGGAAGGAACGGGAACATTTTAATTAGTTAATCTTTTATAAAATATAAGTGAAGAGGGGGGGAATTAACTATGGAAAGCTTATAATTGTTCCCATAGAAGTATGATATTTAATTGAAAAGTAATGTTAAAGATGTTAAGACTTTAATGAATTATTATATTAATGATATAATTGAGTTGGAATGGAATGTTTTAATTATATTATGCATTTATAATTTTTTCTTTTTTTAAGAATACAGTGTGTATTTTAAGAATGTACCAAGCAGAATCCAAATGGAAGTTATGTATTATATTGAATGTTACAACTTTAGGGAAAAGATATAAAGGCGTCATACTCCAATCAGTAACTACAGGAGAAATTTTGTTTAATGAGAAAAAATAATAGATAATTGAAACAGGACAGACAAAAAATATAAATACAATGATTTGAATTGAGATGAGATAATTAAAATAAAATTGAGAAAATTAAAAGAGGGGAGAAACTATGCAGAACATGTAAAATAGTAATAAGATATGGAATAGAATATGAAAATGAGCATGAACCTGAATTTGTGTCTGTACAAAGAAATGTAACCCGGAATTTCAAAAAAGATGTTTTATTTGTATTTTTTTTCTCTTTGTGAAAACTCAAATAAAATTTACAAAAAAAAAAAAGAAAAGAAAAAGAGCTTTAGGCTTTATCCCTGGGAAGGGATTAACAAGCCAAGATTAGTAGTAAAGTAGTAGTACAGTAGTAGCAGCTGTCTCTAAATTACCAAAAAGCAAATTTGAAATATCTTGTTAGGTGACGAGATGCCCCAAAGAGTTGGAACGAGACTGTGGAATTTCAAAATTCTCCAGGAAACTTGCATGCAGGGTGGATTTGATTTAAATTAAGTCAATTTAAATCATGATTTAAATCACTAGTACAAGGCTCGATTTAAATCATAATGTTTAAACAGCAACGGTTGTCTCTGCTGTGCAATTGTCTGAATGCATCAGTGCAGTGTGTATGTTATCTCAACTTGTAGAGCTCAGAGTCATTGAAATGTGTTTACCAAAAAATGTAAATATTGCAGTATACAGCCTCCTGCTACATAACTAAGCTCCACTTTCATGCTGAATAAACCAAATTATTAATGCATCTTAAATAGAAAATTATCTTTTGATATTTTTTTTTACTCCAAAAGCATTTTTTTTGTAGTAGTAATTTGTAGTAGCTATTGAGATCCTATAGATGGCACTAGATGCTAGAAGCAAACTGCATTGTCTAAAAACCTATATAGAGTCTCTTGGCTACTTGCATGATCTTATTCCCTTTATCTTGGTGAAGGTGGAAAGTCCTGGACTTTCCAGAGACATATAGGTGATCTCATTTTACGAACAACACGAGTATTAAGGATTGGTTGGGAGGTTGTACCAATGTGGTTGGGAGGTTTCACCCATGTGGTATCTATTCTCCAATCCAAATACTGTATCTATGCTACTCTTCTTTGCTTGTAAAAATGGTATAAAAGAATAAACGCTGCCCACGCAGTCAGTCATCTTGGCACAATGCACAATGACTGATCTTTGAAATCCATCATTACGGCACCCGAACAGGGCCATCAACCCTGTGGGAAGGGGCCATCAACCCTCTGGGGTGGGCAACAGCCAACATGCTTACCATCGTCTGGAAACAGACCCCTAAGGTGCACACCTTCGTCCTATGGGAACCCGGGTCCTACGGGACCCATCAATGGTAAGTATGGGTTGCAATCTATCTCAGCATCAG